TAACAAAATAACTTACAATAATGGTTTAAAAGCTAGTACAGATAAATGTATATGTTATAGAAAAATATTAAATAAAATTTTTTAAAAAGAGAAAAAATCAAGAGAAGCAAAAAAAAAATGGTTGAAATTTAGTAGGTTGTAGTTTTTTTTTTTTTGCAATATTTTGCTTGAATTTAATTGTATTATCTTTCAATTTTTAAGTATGTTTGGTGACTAAAATATTATTTGAATAAAAAATCTGTTTATTAAATCTGTTTGATTTAAAGGCACCAAAATACTTTGCCTATATTTACTGACAAATTGCTAAAAATATTCATTTTCAAAATGGGGTGTACTTAATTATGCTGAGGACTGTATACATCACAATGTTCATAATGTGTAAAACCATGTTCTAACTACACATGATGTGACAAGATTTTAGTGGCAATCAATTTGGCTGTCTGCACTAAAAGCAAAGACATGACAGACATTTAAAAATCAGCCATTTATTTCAACACTAGCCATTGTGTTCCAGATGAAATGATAAGGATTATAGAATGTAATTAATACATCTTTAACCTATTTAACATTATTAAAAGTACATGAGCTGAGTGAGTCACAGTTCTGACTTTCATTTTTAAACTGTTTAGTAGGTATTTTCAAGATCAGAGGTGAACTATCTACTGCTGCCCTCAGTATAGCAATAAATGCCTCGTAAAATGGTGTTCAAACTCTTATTGGTACTCTGAATAAAGCACTTAATCTGTAGCTGAGGAGATAATTGTCATAGTATTACTGTGCATGCTGTTGTTCTGCTGTGACATAGCAGAAATAGAAACTGTTTCCAAAATAAAAATTGTACATGTCTCTGTCGCAGATAGTTAGGAGTAAAACCTGTTTTAACATGAAGAAAATACCATTTTTTACGCTACTTCATGTGTAGTTAGGACACGGTATAAGAGGGACAGAAAATATGAAAATTTCTTTCTTCTTTCTTTTGTGATGAGTGAGAGTGAATAAACTATACTTTTGGGCTAAATCACTTGACACCTGAATATGACATGGGGTGTGTGGTTTTGATTTATTAAGAATTGATTGACTTACGGCGAAATTGCAAAAAAATAAATCATGATATCATGTTTCATATCATTAAATATCGATAATTATTGATTTTTTTTTTAAACAATTCATCAAGGAATATTATGATTTTTTAATAACTTCATTTTTAATTTACCAACATTACTAGGGCAATTAATTTTAATAGTCAAAAACTAAAAAATTTTAAACAAAATATCTGATCTCTTCAAAATAAAATAATCATAAGTGTTAAAGAGACTCTTAAACTTGATAAATAAAATGTTACAAAGTGTGTTCGATGGTAAAATGTAAATGCTGAACAAAGCAAACATTAAGGTTTAAACAATAATGATATATTAAACCTCAAACTCTGTAAACAAAACTAATTATGATAATCAAATCTAAGCTTTCAAATAAAGGAATTAACCATTATTATTCAAATACATATTGCTACATCACAAGTTGTGAAGTTGAATGACTATATTACCCCCTATGTTAAAAACTCTTTCAGATGGGGAGCTAGTGGCTGGGATGCACAAGAAAAGCAACCAAAAAGCCACTCTGGCGACATCCGTGCATCCTGTTTTATTTACAATATTCTCACTGCTGCTAGCTACCACTCTTATTTTTGCATGTGTTGTTATTCTGACCTGAAGTTACAAGCATGAGCGCATGGTTTCCTTCATCATGTAATATAATGTAATGTGTATTTATATTGCGCATTTATTGTGTATGGCCATACACCCACAGCAATTTACAATCATGAAGGGGGGTCTCTTCACACCACCACCAGTGTGCAGCATCCACTTGGATGATGCGACGGCAGCCACAGGACAGCGGCACCAGTGCGCTCACCTCACACCAGCTATTGGAGGAGTGGAGAGACAGTGATAGAGCCAATTCAGTCGATAGGGATGATTGGAAGGCCAGGATTGTAAGAGCCGACTGAGGGACTTTGGCCAGGACACCGGGGTTTATACCCCTACTCTTTACGAGAAGTGCCATGGGATTTTTAATGACCACAGAGAGCCAGGACCTCGGTTCAATGTCTCATCCGAAAGACGCGCTTTGCGCATTGCGCTTTGCGCTTTGTGCTTTGTGCTTTGTGCTTACCCTCTCCTGGTGCTCCCCTGGCGACCAGCAATCATTTTCTCAGAGGATAACAAGGGTACAAACCACTGCTGTAGCTCTGACGCAAGTTTATGGAGAAAAGTAAAATGCCAGGCAGTGTTGGATGTGCTGTGTTTGTCTGAGGCAATTAGTCTATCGCTATTACTGAAATGTGTATATTCTATACGAAGTGTGAAGCAGATTGGTTAGTTCTACCTGCATGAATCACAGTGCGCTCATGGCATTCGGAAAAGTTCAGATAATTTTAACCTGGTCTGGCTGAAAAAAAAGCGAACGCGTCACGTGCACGGCTTAAACAACATATGCTCGTTGCTCACATAAGCTTCACTGGAAATTATAAACTTACACACTAAGCTTATTTTGTCATTGCTTCCAAGGCGCGCACTCAGTAGCAAAATTTTAATAAAACCATAGCAAACCGTACTGAAACTTCATACAAAATCTTTTTATTTTTTTAATTTTATTATTATTTTTTTAATTAATTTTGACAAAGGTGTTTGGTCTATAAATATCTTTACTGATTTTATCGCCAAGCCCTACTTACTACCATACTAAACTTAATCAAAATCCAAATTTTATATTGCATTGTTTTTATTTCAGGGGGATATAGGGCTGCACGATATTGGAAAAATCTGACATTGTGATGTTTTGTTTATCTGCGATAAATATTGTGATATGAATACAGTTTTACCACATGGGTTGAAGAGCTCTATTTAAAAACAATGCAATTATTTAGGACAATTGGGGTGATTTTCTAAGGCTATGAATCATGTATTAAAGTATGTTAAACAAATTGGGAGCCAAAAAAATTAAAATAGAGCAACAAAAACTAAAAATGAGCAGTTCTTTATGATCACCTTTTGTGGATCATTCATTTTTCAATCTGTTGTCATATATAACTACATTGCAAAAAAGGTTTTCTTCTTGTTTCCAGTCCAGATATCTAAACAATCTTTAATCAAGACTAATGACATGAGGAAATGAAGTGATGCTTAAAACTTCTGTTTGAGATTATATCTCATTAAGATTATTTTTCTCACCTCATTGGCAAATAATGTAGCTTGTTTTAAGCAAACAATCACTTAATTTTGAGGTGTGTTTTTTTTTTTTTTTCAGAAGACAAGACATCATTTCTTATGCTATTTTATGTGTCTAGTATGTGTCTTGATTTAAGATTTTTTTTAGGTATTTGGATTAAAAACAGGAAAAAACTACTAAGTTATTTATTTTATTTTATTTCTATTATTATAACAGCTCAGGGACGTTCAAGGACAACATATTTGTGCACTTTCTAAAGATTTTAGTTATGTTTTTGAATAAGGGGGTGGAAAAGAATGCTTTCTTTTTTTTCAATTCATCGATTACTTAAAAAAATAATCAACAGATTAATCAATTATGAAAATAATTGTTAGTTACAGCCCTAATTTTGAGAAACATTTCAAATATTTTGGAGCAGTAAAGATGTGAGGCTGACTTTTGCTGTCTTTTTTTAAAAACACAGATTTCTTCACAATTAAAAACAGCATTTTTGGATATCTTTTCTGCTGGAGTTATAATCTTTTCTGCTAATAATAATAATGTAAATTAATGTACAAAAATGTAAATAAAAAGTACCATACAGGTAACATACCTTAAGAATGCTATAGCAAACCTTGACTTTTCCAAACTGCCTTGAAATACAGGTTATCATCCCATGACTAGCAAGTGATGCTGTTGTTGTGTTGTTAATCTAAAATAGTCCCCACAGGGGTTGCAGTTCAATTTTGTTTTTATTTACATGTTGTTGGTTTTAATGTAACCATTGACTGCTATGTTTATCTTTTGTTAGTTGATTAGTTAATGGATAAAATATGGTAATTCTAAATGACAAATTCTGAGTCACTAATTCTAATTGGTTTGTCATGCAACAATATGATTTGTAGATCCTTAATAGTGTGTGATTTTACTTTTTATTATTATTTTCCCCCACTTTGTCATTGGCATGCAAAAATAATTTGTCGGTTACAAAAAAATAAAAATAAAAATAACCTAATGATTTGCAGCATATGTCATTTTCATAGCACAAACCATGCGGGATATGTAGCGCAGGGTTGTTTTTAAGGATTAGGGGGCTGTAATCTAAAAACACTAAATGCTTTATTCTGACACGAGGTGAGGATGAGGCCAGCAAGCACAATGGAAAGCTGAAGTCTGTCGTGAATAGGAGGAAGTGTTGCACAAGAGGAAGTGGCCAGAGCACCTCCCAGCGTTCTACCACCAGAGCAGATTAACCGCTACAGGCATTAAATGAAGAGGGGGGCAAAGTCATCTTGAAATTGAAGAAATTGATGATCAGACATCTAGCAGACCTACATAAGCACATCTACCGAGCCTATCTGCAGAGGTCTGTTTGATGAGGGGTTGATGTATTGCATCCGTTTAACCACAGCTGCATGCAGTAGTTGTCTTGAGGACTTTGACACAAGATGCTTTCTTTTTTTTCTTTGTGGTAAAGGACAATTGATTCTTCAGATTAGTCTGCAGTGGTATAAAAGGCCCACATTAATTTGAAAGGCATTTGAAGCAAGTATAAATTAAGGAAGTGAGCGATTTGTCTGTGAGAATTCAATAGCCTGAAGGTTTAAGTCTTGTTAGAGCTAATTCTAGGCTTTACACCGTGAAATTATGAAGAACAAGATGGTAAAAGACTCATTTTAGAGGAATTGAAATGGGGAAATGCTAAAAGCACATGCGGTCAATGATATCACAGGGCTATTTTTTGCTTATTTTTAGCAGCGATAATAAAAGCTGCTTTTTCTGTTGTCTGTTTGCAGACTGTTTCTGTTGGACTGCGACCTTGGAGAGTGCCTGGGTAGGCCTCCCTTCTGTCATCTCCTCTGCTTTTCTGTTGGTAAGCATACCTACACACACAGTCTCATCTCTATTACAATTACTGACTGTCTGTTTGTCTGTCAAGCATTGCGAGTTTTCCCAAATGAGTAACTCTTTACTTAAAGGGGTTGTTCTTTGTGTCAGGAAAACTTTATAGTCATGACAAGACACATTAAACTTTAAACACTTAACACTTTAAACTTTCTTGAAATGCCTTTAAATCACATTTAAATTATATGGTTTCATTCTGTTATTGGTATTCTTTGCTGGTACTCTACAAATCTCATGTATTCTCAACTGATGTGTTGATCATCTATAATCTCATATATATATATAGATATACATATATACATACATACATATACGTACATATATTTATATATACAAAAAAAAAGAACAAGCTGCTACCAAACTTACAGCTGCAGTCAAGAAAGTTTCAGACTGCTTATGTCGTTCGTGTCTTAATGAACAGTAGAGCTGGGCGATATGGCAAAAAAAATGTTCACGATAATTTTTTTCATATCAGTTGATATCAATATTTATCTCGATAAATGTAAAATCTTTATATCTATTAAATATATAAGATTTTCAGCATGCCAATGGCTTTGTGCAGCTGATTTAAAACATTTAGTGAAATGTTTTAGCTGTCTGACAATGTAAATAATTAAATAATAAACAAAAGAACAATCTTTATTCAGCATTTACTGTTCAAGTTTTCAACAACCAACGACATTACCTACAAGTTATTGAATATTATTGTTCAACATCAGAAAAAAACCCCGGTTTGGAACAATGTGAGTTAATAGTCAGTTAATACTAAATTTCAGTTTTGGACGAACTCTCCTTTTAATGGTGAGTATGGTGAATTTAGGGTGAAATATACTTTAATGTATTTATCTATTAATTGTTGATAACACTTTTATCGATAGACTTTATCGATGACTGATTAAGCATGGACATGTAAAGGTTTAGTTATACTTTGCGCTGAGACGCATCCACGCATTACATCATCAAGCGTGTGCAGTTTACCTATGCTGTCACCCTCTTGACATCCCATATTGCGAATGTATATATTTATTTAGTTCGTGTCCGCCTTAAACAACTGCGGGTGAATGATGCCTCGCTCCGTGGAAAAAAAGGATTTAATTAATGATCCACTGCTGTTTTAAACGTCTGTCATATATTTGCTGCATTTTTAATATGTCATTTTTTTAAAGATTATGTCTTGAGCATCTGATATTTCCTCTGTGATTATGTCCTTTAAATATATAGCCTAAAGGCTGGTTCTTTTACCGTTGATGAGAGACAATAGTAGTATTACAGATTTCAAAACAAGTATTTTAATATTAAAAAGAAAACATAAGCTTGACATCAAAAGATCTTATTATTGTCTTAACAAATACATGATGCAGCCAGTAGTTTACAGCAAGCATCAAGTGTTCATTGAGATGTGTTTGAGATTGTGTCCTCTGTCATGTCTTAAGTCTGTCTTTTCGAGAGGGGGGGGGGGTTTCTCGTAAGGCACGGCTTTCGAAAAGGATGACATGAGATTCTGCTGGGTAGCTGCATTGGTTTACTAACACTTGTTTAGGTCTGTAATTTCTTAGCATCTTCATAAGGGTGGTCTTGTTTTACATGGTGAAACAGGTCGTGGTGTTGCCTGCTTTTGATGACACGATTTGTCTGCTCAGTTTGCGGTGCACGTTGCTCTGTTTTGTGTCGGATAGCGAAAAACTAAGTGGCTCATGAAGTCTAGTGACGTTTCTTGTCAACAGTGTCTGTGATTCTGATCTTTTTAACCTTATTTCTTTCTTACTCATATAAGTGCAACTAACACTGTATGGCTGTAAACTTGTACGACATACGGCATCTGGAAGGGGCAGGTTGCAAAATGCTTGCGCAACGTTACGCATAGTGCGAAAATATTATCGAGCAATTATCGAACTGTCATTATCGTTTTATCAAAAAATTTTATATCGTGATAATTATCGACATCGAATTATCGCCCAGCCCTAATGTACAGTAAGTAAAACTGTGGGAATGTTTTTTCAGTTTAGAAAAATGAGGAGCATTGATGGAGAAGTAGTCAATATTGCTGATCATTTATGTTATTTTGGTATAATTATTGACTTTAAATTCTAAAAAAACACGTTTCCAAAAGTGCTAGAGCAAGCCTGAGTATTTATAGAATCATCAGGCATCAGTTACCTATGGCTGCTGCCAAACCTTTTATGAACACAATGTTTTTTCCTCATTTATCTTATTACTACAAGCAGGTCCCACGCGAAGATTACAACATTAAAACCATTGTATATTATCTATGAATAAACTGTAAACAATGTCACTAAAAATCCAAGCAGTTATCATCACTGTAACTGTATTGCACAACATAAATTACTAAGATTCAACAATTTCCTATTTTTTGCTGATGTGTGTTTAATGTACTAAAAATTTAATGATCTTACACCACCACCACTCTTCAAACAATGTGTAATAGTCTGCAAGGATAATATAAGACAGTCTAGGTCATCTGTTAGAGGAGGTGATTGTCAGTTAAAGGCAAGACAACTGCTTTTTGCCAAAAAACAAAAACAAATCCCAACTTAACTTTGCATTTACTATGTTATGACTATTGCAGACACATGTTGCGATATGGATGCTGAAATGATATATTGTACAGCCCTGGTTATAAATGTGAATGAAATGCTATGCATGCTTATGACTACTGTCATAAGTGCCACTTGCTTAGTTAAGACATTTCACATGCAAAGATGACATTGTTTGTTATGACAACTTGACATAAACAAATACATCACAACTTGTTTTTGTCTTTATCATGATTACTTGACAACTTGTCATAAATCTGTCATAAACATGATTGTCTTAAGGCAATCTGTCATTAAAATGTCTCATTAAAAGTGTCTTTACTCTGTCTAATCAGTTTTAAGAGTGTTAATATTTAATGACCAGCTTCTACCATTGTAGTTAAGGTTAAAATAATTACATCAATGATGCCTTGATACAATTCATGACATTTATAATGGCTTCATGACAATCATGCTCATGTCAGATTTATGACAAGATTTGTCCTGGGGCTTGTTTGAGTAAGGAGGTTCAACCAACTCGGAGTTTTAACTTGAACTCTGAGTTGATTTACCAAGTTATAAAAAACTCAGAGTTTTCGGTTTCAGAATAGCGGATCTGAGTTGGGTCAATCAACTTTGAGTAGACCAACTCAGAGGTAAGCGCACACACCTTGACTATAAAAGGCATTATCAATAAAGCGCAGATATTACTAGTGACCATGGCAACATCTTAAAAAAAAGAGATGGGCATTTCTTTCTCCAGCTGAACTTGGTGTGCTCATGCAAAGTTATAGCAAATATGACCATATATTTTAAAAAGAAACACCACTGCATCAGTACAACAAAGGCAGTTAGCGTGGGAAAACAGCTGCTCAAGTTAATGCAACATTGTACATTTAAAGCATTTAAATATTTAGGTATGATAAAATAAGTAATGTTATGTGTGATGTTTATAAAATTTTTTACACACGTTCCCACTTTTACACACATTTGATCTGTTTTAATAGATTTAAAAGTGCAATTGTGTGTCTGCCTTTTTTATTGATCAAGTGATTGAGGTTGAAATGAAATGACAAGTAATTGAGATTGATATGACATGTCCCTGTCGAAAGTCTTTGAATTTAAGCTAATTATTTATTAAAAAGGACAAGCCATTCTGGTACGTGACTTTGTTCTTTGTGTGACTGAAATCTAGGCAATAGCTATGTTTCCATCCAAATATATTAATTAAATGTATGTGCAAAAACTGGATTATTGCATAAAAGACGTGCAAATAAAGCAGCGTTTCCATCCAATGAGTCAAAGAGAGCATGATCACGACTTTTTGGTTATATGGGCGTTAAATATCAACGGTAAAAACAGATTTAATGCGGTAGAAGAAGCTGCGTCAATCTTTTCTTTACTTAATAAATGTACTTGCACCTCAGAAGACAATGCTGCCACACAATGAACACATGGTGGCATTTGAAGCCATGAGATGTGTAGAAAAGACCCTCTTGACATGTTCCAGACGTTTTGGAGATCATTAATAATATAATAACATTAATGCTGAAATAGTTAAGGTGTTTTAGAATGAATGACCAAAACAACATTTAAGATGTGCTACAGTGTGCTCAGCCTGCTGGTTTGTCCATTCACACAGATTTTAAACATCATATGATCTCTTATAACAAACCTTTTTTTTAATGCACATACTTGAATTTGTTCAGTAAAAGTGTTTCCATTATAGTTTATGCGCACATTTTCTATCGAATAAAAGTTTATACTACTCAGTTATGCACGTGTTTCTTATGCGCATTTTCAAAATTTTTGTGCATCATGACGTTTTTATGCGCATATCCAAAATGCGCAATAAAATAGGTGGGTGGAAACGTAAGGCTAAAGTAAGAAGTACCGCTTTGTCTTTAAAAAAGGGGAGGAGACCAACAGAAACTCCGAGTTTAGAGAATAAAACCTGCTCCTGACCAGGTTAGGTTCACAGTGTGAGTTACCAAAGTAACTGACTCTGAGTTAAAGTAACCTCTCTTTCAGAAACAGACTTGACTTACCCTGCTTTCTAGAGTTTAACAAACCTGCCATTTTGAAACGGAAAACCCAGAGTTTCTCTCATTTCAGGGTTAAAATACTCTGAGTTTTCACTTAACCTCCTTTCTGAAATGGGCCCCTGGTGTCCATGACATGTTGTCTTCATGTCATATTGTCATGGTATTGACAAAAACAGGTTGTGATGTATTTAATCAAGTGTGTAATAATCAAGGGGAGCTAATAATTCTGACTTCAATTGTATATAGCAGAGAAAAAAATATTGCAATGTCTATTTTTTTCCAATATTGCTTAGCCCTAGTTTAAAGTATTTCATGACGCAAGAAAAACTTGCTGACCCCAAACTTTTAAATGGTACAGTAAATATACAAGAACTGTGCCAAATAAATCA